TGCTAAGGCAGAGAAGATTAGGCTGATGAGGTCACCATAGCTGTCAGGGTCAGCGATCCAGTGGGGAGGGGTGGGAGGTCATTGTCAGACAGAACCATTTATTTTTCTGTTGGTTCATTTTCAAGGGAAGCATATAGCACAAAGGAGACCCTGGGTGGTGCAATTAACATGCTCAACTGCTAACCGAAAGACTGGCAGTTCAAGTGCACCCAGAGACACCTCAGGAGAAAGGCCTGATAATGTGCTTCCAAAAAAGCAGCCACTGAAAACCCTATGGAGCACAGTTGTACTCTGACACACACGGGGTCGCCATGAGTCAGAATCGACTTGATAGCAACTGACTTTTGTATATAGCACAACAAGCAAGAGGATGCTTGTGCAGTTATTTCTGTGCTGGGGTGGAGGTGACAGAGAATGTCCATGCTGGAGCAGCAAACTTGCCCTGAAGGCGGGAGGAAGTGGGTAAGTAGGGGATATTGTGGTATGTAGAAAGAACAGTGAGTCCTGAATCCTCCAGGAGCTCTGTTGGGATTTGGCAAATCCCTTAGCTTCTCCTAGCCTCAGATCATCTCTAAAATGGAATGATAATTCCATCCTCAGAGTGCTATGAGTACCAGATGTGATAAATGTGAAAATGTATTGTAAATTTTAAAGGTCTAACCAGGCACAAGCTACAATAACAATAGCTACTAATTATTGAATGACAGCACTGGTGGTTCGGTAGTAGAATCCTTCCTTCCATGTGGGAGATCCGGATTCGATTCCCAGCCAATACACCTCATGCACAGCCACCACCCATCTGTCAGTGGAGGCTTTACATGTTGCTAAGATGCTGAACAGACTTCAGCAGAGCTTCCAGACTAAGACAGACTATGAAGGAGGACCTGGCAATCTAATTCCGAAAATCAGCCAGTGAAAATCCTATGGATCACAGTGGTCCAATCCCATTGTGCATGAGGTCACCATGAGTCAGGTCAACTTGATCGCAGCTAACAGCAATAATTATTGAATGTTTACTACGTGCCTGGCAATGTGCTAAGGGCTTTACATGCCTTTTCTCAAAGGCATTGTGTAGGCAGAATAATCGCCCACCAAAGATGTCCACGTCCTAATCCCCAGAACCTGTGAATATTACTTTATAGCAAAAGGACTTTGCAGATATGATTAAGGATCTTTAAATGAGGAGAGCCTGGATTAGCCAGGTAGGCTCTAAATTTAATCACAGTCCTTAAAAGAGGGAGGCAGGAGATTAGAGTGAAGTAGTAGGAAATATGACCACTAAAGCAAGAGGTTGCAGTGATGTGAAGAAGGGACCACAAGCCAAGAAATGCAGGCGGCCTCTACAGGCTGCACAAGGAGAGAAGCCCTCCTGCCTTCTGAAGCCTCCAAGAGGAATGTAGCCTCATAGACCCATTTTAGACTTCTAACCTCCAAACCATCATATTGTTGTTGTTGTTGTATGCCATCCACTCATAGCAACCCTATAAGACATAGTAGAACTTCCCCATAGGGTTTCCTAGGCTATAATCTTTATGGGAGCAGATCACCAGATCTTTCTCCCATGGAGCCCCTGGGTGAGTTCAAACTGCTAACCTTTTGGTTAGCAGCCAAGTGCTTAACCATTACACCACCAGGGCTTCTTCTTCAGACCATAAAAGAATATATTTGTGTTGTTTTAAGCCATGAAGTTTGTGGTAATTTGTTACAGTAGCAATAGGAAACTAATCCAGGCATCCTCCCTGGAGCCAGGCTTGCTTGGATTCAAATCCTGGTAGCACCACTTTCTCCATCCATGAAATGGAGATGACATCAAAAGTCCCTGGCTAATAGAGTGGTTGGAGAGATTAAATGAGATGGCCCAAGCAGAACTCTTAGCCCAGTGCTAGCCTGGCATACAATTAAACCAGTTGCCATCAAGTCGATTCTGATTCATGGTGGCCCCATGTGTGTCAGAGGTTCCATAGGGTTTTCAATGGCTGATTTTTTCAAAAGTAGATCACCAGGTCTTTCTTCCTAAGCACCTCTGGGTGGACTCAAACCTCCTACGTTTTGGTTAGCAGCTGAGCACATTAACTATTTGCACCACTCAGGGACTCCGGCATAAAATTAACACTCAGTTAGTGTTAGCAATTACTAGTATCATCTCATTTAATCACCACTCATACTTTATGTGCTCAGTGCTATTAATCTCTCCAGGAGGAAACTTAATGAGGTTTAAAAAACTTACCCATGATTCTCCAGGCTATAAGTGGCAGAACCAGGATCTGAACCAAGTCTGTGTCTTAGAGGCCCATGTGCTCACCAACAGTGCTCTTCAGTATTAGGGTTATAACAACGAGACATCCATTGAATGCCAGTTACCTAGACAGGGGCTTTAGAACCAGATAGAGCACAGTGCTCCCTGCACAGGCAAAAGCCACCAGGGCTAGAAATCAAACAAATGTATGTTTATCAGGGAAACAAAAACCATAGCTGCCATGGAGATCAGCATCCAAGAGGTTACCGGCCCTCTGAAATCCCTGGGCTAGCCATCCCCAAGCAGCAAGTCATAAAAGTCTGAATACTGTGTTTAGTCATCTTGGTTCTGGAATAATTGCTATTATCGTAAATGTTTTATAGCTCTCATTATGGTTCACATTTAAATATCAGTGTAGTAAGGCATTAATATAGACTCATTAACAACCTGCAATATGCAGATGACACAACCTAGCTTGCTGAAAGCAAAGAGAACTTGAAGCACTTACTGATGAAAATCAAAGACTACAGCCTTCAGTATGGATTACACCTCAGCATAAAACAAAAACCTTCACAACTGGACCAGTAAGCAACATCATGATAAACAGAGAAAAGATTGAAGTTGTCAAGGATTGCATTTTACTTGGATCCACAATCAACGCCCATGGAAGCAGCAGTCAAGAAATCAAATGATGCATTGCATTGGGCTAATCTGCTGCAAAACACCCCTAGGTGTTAAAAAGCAAAGATGTCACCTTGAGGACTAAGATGTGCCTGACCCAAGCCATGGTATTTTCAATTGCATCATATGCATGTGAAAGCTGGACAATGAATAAGGAAGACCGAAGAAGAATTGACTCATCTGAATAATGGTGTTGGTGAAGAATATTGAATATACCATGGACTGCCAGAAGAACGAACAAGTCTGTCATGGAAGAAGTACACAGCCAGAATGCTCCTTAGAAGCGAGAATAACAAGACCTTGTCTCATATACTTCGGACATGTTATCAGGAGGGACCAGTCCCTAGAGAAACAAATCATGCTTGGTAAAGTAGAGGGTCAATGAAAGAGAGCAAGACCCTTAATGAGATGAACTGAGACAGTGGCTGCAACAATGGGTTCAAACACAGCAACGATTGTGGGGATAGCGCAGGACCTGGCAGCTGTGCCTGGGGTTGCTATGAGTCAGAAGCAACTCAACGGCACCAAACAACAACAACAGCAAAGACATTAATAAGTCATCTCCCTTTCAGACTACTGCTAGATGCAGTTACTGTCCAAACCCTGTGTGCATCTATCCTGTATATTCAGCTAAATTAGAGATGGGCTGTGAACTCCACCTGCTGTTGAGTTGCTGCGTGTGGTAGGAAGCAAGCCATTTCTCCACAAAGGTTTCTTGCTCTTTGCCTTTGAGAGATGAGTAGGATGCTCAGATTGCTAACCTTTGCCTTTGAGAGATGAGTAGGACGCTCAGATTGCTAACCGGTAGTCAGTGAGCAGCCCTGATTAGGTTTCCCCAGGTTGGCGCCTAGAACTCTGGAATGGGTGGAAGTGGAGACAAAGGCACCGTTTCCGCCCTAGAGGCATTCCTAATCTGATGGAGAAGGGAGAGGCATAGTCCTTGCCCTCAGGAAGCTCCCTGCAAAGGCAGGAGAGCCTGGTCTAATGACAGTGACAAATTCTTCAGACATGTCTAATGAGGTATTCTGAAGGTACCCTGGGTTAATGGAGACAGGATGGATAACCCCCTCAACGCACCCAAAACAAAACAAGCTAAGTAGGTTCAACTTCATAAAATGTCAAGTGTCTGTATTAGCTTATTAGTAAAATTACGAAGTGGGCAGAACCAAGCAACATTAAGTTTGGTCTGTTAGTTCTTCGCTCTTATACTAAATGCCTAAAATAATGCCTGACACATGGTAGGTGCCCAATAAATATGGGAAGGCGGGAGAAAAAAGAATTAGTGCTGGGTTCAAATTCCATCTCCAGAGCTGGCCACCTGTGGGTCCTTGGAACAGTTATTTTCCCTCTCTGCATCTCAGCCTCCTCATCTATAATACCAAATCAAATGCATTTCCGTCAAGTCAATTCCAATTCATGGTGACCCCATGTGACAGAGTAGAACTGCTCCATGGAGTTTTCTTGGCTGTAATCTTTATGGAAGCAGAGTGCCAGGTCTTTCTTTTGTGGTGCTTCTGGATTGGTTCAAACCACCAACCTTTAGGTTAGGAGTTGATCGCAAATGGCTCGCACCACCCGGGGACCTCCTCATCTATGATAGAGGGATATTAGTGGTGCAAACAGTTAAGTACTCAACAGCAGTTGACCACCACCACCACCTTGTAGAGTGTGTGTTAATAAGCAAAATGATGTTCATCTGTTTCCTTCTCTCTAAAATGAGGACGGTAATCCCTAACTGGCATTGCAATTGTGAGAATTAGAGATATTATAGTTAGGCACCAGCACATCATAGGGTTGCAGGAAGGGATATTTTTACTCAAGGCGGATAAGTAAGAACTGAGAGAAAAGCAGTGGGGAGCAATGATCCACCTGAAACAGGAGTCAGTGAATTCCCTTATCACCTATACATCTGTCCACCTATCTCCTGCTGCCCCACTGACTGGCCCTTGGCCGTTGATTTATGAACCTTCTAGCAGTCATATATATGCTCCCAACTACCTTCTATCAGTAACTTGGTGTCCCCCTTCCCTGCCACAACACTGCTTCCCTGGTGACCTTTACTCCTTTCTCTCCATCTCTGCAGTACCCTCAACAACAACAACATCAGCCGCATCCTGGTCACCAGCTTCAACCACATGCCGAAGATTCGAACTTTGTGAGTAAAAGCCCCGCTTCTTCCCCCTCCTACCTCCCACCCACCCACCCAACCCAATGTGCAGCACTCTAAGCTGCTTGTCAAGCCTACCAGGCTAAGATTTGGTCAATGAGTCCTACATTCAAATGCCTCCTCCTTCTGCTATTAACTATGGGGTGTGTTGGTGAGCAAGAGCGGGTGGGGAAAGTGTCATGGTTCCATCCATGGTTGCTAATCACTCTTCTGCATTCATTAGACAGAGTCATCTCTCTTCACCTTGGGACTGGGGGAGTTCTTCATATATTGTATTTGGGTATTTTCTATGTTGATGGGAAAGTTTTTTATTTTTACATTATCACAGAGCATGTAGAGCTGTGACTTAATGATTCACCAGGTACTTAGCTAATTTCATGTACCGTTGGCAATTCAATGGTTAACAATTGTTTCCCCCTGTGTGAATGGTAGAAGAGAGGAAGTCTTAGTCCCTCCTTCTCCCCATCCTGCCCAGCCCCCATTTACCACTTTCCCCCTCTCACCTGCTCTTTGGATGGTGTTCTAACATTAGGATGCAATAACTTGGTTCTTTACCTTTCATATGCTGGGTGGGACCAAGCTTTCCAGGGTACGTACTCAGGAAGCAAATATCCCCCTAACCTTCAATACCTAGAGCGCTTCTCATGCCTTATGACCTGGGGAGTTACCCTACACATTCAGCCAGTGACCCTTTGTCGTTTCTCTGCAAATGAACTCTGTGGGCTTTTCCAAACAGGCCCCGACTTGATGCTTTTCTTGTGTCAGTAGAGCCTCAGGGGTGTTTGCAGCACAGTAGTAGGGAGACTCAGCTCCCAAGAGCTTTCAGGCCAAGGGCCAAGGCCAAGGATTGAATTCCTGCTGTGCCCTTTATTATTTCTGTGACCTCAGCCAACCTAACCCCTAATGACAACTATTCCTCCTCTGCAAGTGGGGGTGGTGGAGAGGATCAGGTGAGATTAAATATGTAACGCACCTGGTGAGTAGTACACAGTAAATTATATTGTTAGTATTATTATTACCATTCTATCCAGAAATCTGGACTGAAAGTACCAAGCAACCAGCTTATTTACAGCCCCCAAGCAATATGAAAACCAAGATCTGAAAGTCCTTAGAGCAGTGGTTCCCAGAATGGTGTCCCAGACCAGCAGCACAGCCTAGAACTTATTAGAATACCAAAATTTCAGGCCCCACCCCAGACCTGTTGAATCAGAATCTCAAGGAGTAGGGCCCACAGTCTGTTTCCACAGACCCTCCAGGTGATTCTGATGCTTATACAGGGTGAGAACCATGGCACTAGAGGGAAACCAAACCAGCTGCCATCAGGTTGGTGCCGACTCATGGTACCCCATGTGTGTCAGAATAAAACTGTGCTCCATGGGGTTTTCAGTGGCTGATTTTTCAGAAGGAGATCACCAGGCCTTTCTTCCAAGGTACCTCTGGGTGGATTCAAACCACCAAACTTTCAGTTAGTAGCCGAGTGCTTAAGCATTTGTGCCACCCAGGGAAAACAACCTTATTTCCAAGCAAGAAGGAATCAAAAACCAATGAAGCAATGTATGAGAAAACCATAGTTAGCACCCTAAGAAAGACCCAGAGTTTGGAGTCAAGCAGAGCCGAGTTTAAATGCGAGCCCTGCCACTTACCTGCAATGTAAACTTGGATGTTTATATGTAAAGTGAGTTCATGCCTACCTTCAGGTTGTGTTGAGAATGAAATACACTAACAAGTGAAGTGCCTGGTTCGTGGTGTGCACTCAGCAAATAATCATTAGGATAAAGATTAATAATAATCCCAGCCTAACTTCCAACTTTACTTCCCAAATTCTTCCTTTGGTCCTTCATGTTCAGCTTCATAATTTAGCCAAGAAAATCTGCCCTTTTCCTTCCCCTTAACCTGGGATAGTGCAGTAATGGGATTTTAAGGAGAAACAATTCGGTCTTCAAAGACCCCTTCAAAGACCACAGCACAGCCACCAGGGGTGGATTAACCAGTGAGTACAGTCTGCACCAGCTCATTGGGTAATCCATCCCTGACAGCCACAGATGAGCTAGAGGAGAGTGCGGCCCAGGGCTCCTGGTCAAGAAGCCAGAAGTGAGCCTCATGATGCTAGGCCAGACAGGTGGGATGAATCAAAGAAAAATTACTGTCACCTGCAGAAATCAAGCATTTAACTCCTGGGGGCCTCTCATCCATGATTTATTAAAAAATAAAAATAAGAAACAGTTGTCATCGAGTCAGTTCTGACTCTTGGCATCCTAGCGTGTGTCAGAGTAGAACCATGCTCCACAGGGTTTTCAATGGCTGATTTTTTGGAAGTAGGTCACCAGGCCTTTCTTCCGCAGTGCCTCTGGGTGGACCTGAACCTCCAACCTTTCAGTTAGCAGCTGAGCACATTAACCAGTTGCACCACCCAGGGACTCCCTGCGATGTATTCTTCCCTACCTTTGTTATTTTCTATTTAGGAGCAGGAATAACAGAAGCCAGAGCTGGCTCCATGGAAGTGAGGGAGGGGACTAGGCTTGGGTCTTGGGTGCTTTGTTTGGAGTGTATAGAGGTGGGGGAAGAGGGCGGGAGGATTTTTGTCTCCTGTTTCTGTTGTCATTCTTCTCTATGGTCCTGAACACTCGTCTGATGAGCTCGAATCAATCAATCAGTCTCGTCTGTTCCTGTTGCTCCCTGCCGCTGCCATTTTGTCTTTAGTTTAATTTCAGAGATGGCTCTGTATAGAACTCCCTGGAGACTTGAGCTGACTAATCCCCCTGCACTGTAATTAAAGGGAGGGGAGCTGGTGGTGGTGGAGAAGGGGGGAAGATGAGAGAGGAAGGAAGTCATAAATGGGATTTCTAAAGGAAAGATTTTATATTGAATTCAGAAAGCCACATTTTATAGAAAATGAACACTGACCCTCTCTAAAAGGATTTGCTGGAAATTTAATTTGGTGTCTGTGGCTAAAAGGCACCTTTTATAAATTGGCATTTGTATTCATTCACCTTATGTTCTTTAAAGGTGGTTTCATCAACATTGAGTATGGTGTTTCCATCAGCAAAAGATTGCAGTACGGCATGCAAGAACCAGCTAGCCACCTTGATGCTTTGATATATAAAGAATTATAGCCTTGTACAGGCAGGGTCACAGGTTAGAGAGAAACTGGAATTTGGAGCTAGATGCACATACTGTCCTGTCAACCATGATGGTAGTAAACATTTCTTCTGTGGTTTACTATGTGCCAACTCTGTGCTAAGCACTTCCTATGAATCATTTCAATCCTCACAACAGCCTTAGGTAGGAGGCACCATGAATATCCCCATTTTACAGGTGACAACACTGATGCCCAGAGTTAAATAACTTCTCAAAGTCCCAAAGTCAGAGTCTGGAAAAGCACAGAGCCAACGTCCAAACCAAACCTAACCAGTTGGCATCAAGTTAATTCCAACTCATGGTGACCCCATGTGTGTCAGAGTAGAATTGTGCTCCACAGTGTTTTCAATAGCTAACTTTTTGGAAGTAGATCACCAGACCTTTCTTCCAAGATGCCTATGAGTGAACTCAAACCACCAGGCTTTTGGTTAACAGCTGAGTGTATTAACCATTGAACCACCCAGAGCCACTGTGTGACCCAAGCAATTTGACTTCAGAGTCTGAGTTTGGACCACCATCAAGGAGAAACAACAGCAGGAGAGCAGATGCTAGGGGGGCAGAGGAAGGGGAGACCAGAGCTTCCACACAGCCCAAGGCCCAACAGAGACTCCCTCCCCCTTATCTTTGCCATCACAACTCATCGACATGATTTAAAGTAATTAAAACCATTTCCCTTCCCACTTAAGAGGACTAGGAATATTCCTGGAAGTTCCCAGTTCAAGTTTCATGACTATTATGATTATTTTTCTTTTAATATTAGTGTTTGAGGTGATAATGCCCAATTCAGTCTCCCAAACACGATATGAAAGATGGCTTGAAAAAGTCCACCCAGCCTGACCCTTCCCCACATTTCCGGTGGGTAAAATTCCAAAATGGGGGTACTGAGCCTGTCCACTGCCCTGGACCTTTGATAAGAGCCCTCATGTGCCTTCCAAGTCAGTTTTGGTCACTTCTTTTCCATGGTCCCATATGGGAGGGGAGAAACTCCTACAAAGACAAACAAAGGGATAGGGAACATCTGTATCAGGGAGAAGAAGAATGAGAACTTTGAGCTGGGCAGCAGAGAATGAGAACCAACCTGATACAATCTTCCAAAATGGAAGCCTCTGACATTTTGATTATCCCAGAAATTAATCAGCTCAGTAAGGATCTGACTTACCTAAAGCCCATTATTTGTTTTTCTATTGATCTCTTACCTTTGATTGGAACTGACAGGAGTTTGTTCTCATTGAACTGCCTCATGGGCTGGTGCTCAGTACTTTATAGTGAATCCCTGTGGCTGTGCTGCCAAAGAGGGCAACTGCCTTTCCAAATAAAATCCAAACTTCTTGTTGTTGTTGTTAGGTGCCTGCTATTGAGTCAATTGCTACTCATAGCAACCCTATGAACAACAGAACGAAACACTGCCCGGTCCTGCGCCATCCTCATGATCCTTGTTATGCTTGAGCACATCGTTGCAGCCACTGTGTCAGTCCATCAGATTGAGGATCTTCCTCTTTTCTGCTGACCCTCTACTTTACCAAGCATGATGTCTTTCTCCAAGGATTGATCCCTCCTGATAACGTCCAAAGTATGAGAGACATAGTCTTGCCATCCTTGCTTCTAAGGAGCATTCTGGTTGTGCTTCTTCCAAGACAGGTTTGTTCATTCTTTTGATGGTCCATGGTATATTCAGTATTCTTTGCCAACACCACAATATTAAGAAGCTCCAATTCTTCTGGCACACAGAAAACATCTGTGCCTCAGCGTCACATGCCGCCGCAGCCTGCCCTGTGCTCCGTCTTGTCACCAAGGACTAACTCACGATTGCAATTTCCCTAGGTAAACTTTATACTTGTGAGGCTCATTGGCCATAGAATTCTCTCTCGGCGGCAGCTCACCGATGGGCCAGGAGACAGATACTTTTTGCTGATGCTAAAATTTCCCATGAAGGCCTAGTGTGGAAAGAGAGTCCCCTCCTCTTTTTCACACTTTTTAGGAAATACCAACCAGCTAAAAAGAGTCCCTGGGTGGTGCAAGTGGTTAAGTGCTTGGTTGTTAACCAAAAGATTGGAGGTTCGAGTCTATGCAGAGACACCTCGGAAGAAAGGCCTGGCAGTCTACTTCCAAAAAATCAGCCACTGAAAACCCTGTGAAGCGCAGTTCTACTCTGGCACACATGGGGTTGCCATGAGTTGCAATCAACTTGACAGCAATAAGTTAATTGGTAAACAGCTACAAGTCCACCACCAGGCCTCCTCTTTGTTCCAGACACAAAGTGGTCATGTTTGTTGAATAGAGAACAGACGTCTTGCTTTCCCTCTCAGAACTTCCCAGTAGCTTAGGATTTTGTGCTTTTCTCCCCCCTAAACACACCACTACCACCCCACCTCTTTCTGGAGTGCCAGGCTAAGAGGAAGCCATGCTTGCCTCAGTGGCACAGGGGGCCTGTGAGCTGGGTGAGCGAACGGGAGAGCAAAGGCACCCACTAGAGGCACGGTATCGTGGTCCTAGAATCTTTTCAAGGGCCTATGAAAATGTGTTCAACCTGAAACTATTGGCTCTGAAATGCAAAAGAAAATTGCAAAATCGAAATTAAAAAACACAGTCATAAATTCTTTTCATTCTTTTTTCAGCAGAAAACAAAACATGACATTTTATGTGGGATACAGGTCCATACTGTATGTCTGATATGAAGGGATGCGGGGACTCCTGGAGTGAGGGTGCCTGAGGCAGCCGAGGCAGCCAGTGCCCCTGGTCGGCCGGGGTTTGCATCCAGACAGCGGCAGGAAGGCAGTGCTGGCACGCAGCACAAGTGAGCTGCACTTGGCCTGTGTTTAGCAATGTTGACTCTACACTAAGTGGAGCATGGTCAAGAGCCCTTCAGCTCTCTCCATTCCAGGCATGGAGGTAGCCTGAGCTACTCCTTCAGGCTGCCACTCAGTATTAACTGGCTCGACACAGAGTACTTGAGAGTCCCAAGATACTGCTAGCTGATTAGCATGTCCAGGATTGGGCGCTTGAAATTGGTATCAGAGACTCAATTGTATGATGACTAAGGAGTCCCTGGGTGGTGCAATTGGTTAATGTGCTCAGCTGCTAACCAAAAGGTTGGGGGTTTGCGTCCACCTCAGGAAAAAGCCCTGGCCATCTACTTTTGGAAAATCAGCCATTGAGAACTCTATGAGTCACAGTTCTACTCTGACACACACAGGATCACCAGGAGTCAGAGTCGACTTGAGGGCAATCACAATATATTAATACTTATAATTTTTTATATGACTAAAACTCTCTGTCCCATACTCACCCTGCTAGAGTACAGAAGTGGCATTGGTTTTAGGCCCACTAGCATTACATGTAGGTAGTTCATTAAAGGGATATTTAGGTGGGAATGGGGAAGGAGAAGTAAAGGGTAAAGGCGACAGTAGGTCTCAGCCACCATGTCACCATAGTCTGGGACATTGAGAGATGTGTTTCAAGCTATCTGTAACTGATGATAGCTAAAGTACTGACATTTGCAGATGAGTCACCCCTTTGTAAGGATTTGACTCGAGTCAGGATTGTCACTATAATAACGTCACTCTCTCTCTCTTATTATGCTGAGAGGCTTTCTTGAGTGGGAAAGTAAGGGGTGGAATTACCACTACTAAGATATGGGGAATTGCACAGAAGCCTGGGGACATCCATGGGCTGTGCCCTGCATCTGAAGATAACTGTCATTTGTGGGTTGGCAGTGAAAGAGTTGGGGCTCATGTAGTAATTTACCAGTGCAGAGGGAAGTGCTTCCCTGAGCTCAAAACCTCCCACCCCCACTCTGTTTGGCCAGGCTCCCCACACCACTCTGTGACCACGTCTTTCCTCTGCCCCTCTCTTTCCCAGGCGTCTCCACTCCAATCACCTGTACTGTGACTGCCACTTGGCCTGGCTCTCTGATTGGCTGCGACAGCGGCGGACAATTGGCCAGTTCACACTCTGCATGGCTCCTGTGCAGCTGAGGGGCTTCAACGTGGCAGACGTGCAGAAGAAGGAGTACGTGTGCCCAGGTGAGGCTGCTCCCCACCTTTCCATCCCATGCTGTGCTATGACTCACCCACTCATGGGCTCACCCCACCATCACCTGGCCTTTAGCACACACTCCAGCCTGGAACGGAACCACATACTCTATAGCCTCTTAAAGAACTCTGGAGTGTCTCAAAGGGTTAAGCGCAAGAAGTGCCTGTCATCTGGTAAAGGAAAATGCTAAAGAAACTCGTGAATCACTTTCTGTTACGCCCATCATCCACTGATGCTAAGAAACCTAACATTTGTTGAGCTGCATGTAATCTGGAAACAGGTGTAATGGAAGTATTTTAGCATTTGCTAAACACGTTCCAGTCGTCCAATTGCTCATGGAAACTGGGAGGTGCGATAATGCAGGCTGTGGAGTCAGCCGGCTTGGCTGGAAATCCTAGCTCTGCCCCTTACTAACTGTGTGACTTTGGCAAGTTACCTCTTGTCTGCAAAATGGAAATAATAATAGTCCATAACTCAAGGGATTGGTGGGAGGATTAAATTAAATAATGCATCTAAAGCACTTAGCATAATACACTGCACTTGGTAAGAGCTAAATAAGTGGAGCTTAATTATTATAGTTTAGTGGGCCCACAAAATGTGCTGAGCAAACATACAAGTTTGATCTGTGGGTAATTGAAGTGTGATAGAAGCACAGATTGCCTACACAGTACAGAAAACAGAACCACACAGACACACATAACTGAAGGCGGCTTAGATCTCCAGGGATGGGAGGTGGTTGCGTAACTGAGGAAACTTTCCCCAGGACGTAGCTTTGAAACTGGGCCCTGAATTTTGCTTGCTTGTTCGATTTTACTTTTCCTGTACATCCTTCACTCCTACCAATTCTTCTCTTGTCAGGTGGCAAAGAGGTAGAGCTAGTGCCTTGACTTCCTCAAAAAAGGAAAGCATTCACAGGGAACACTAAGCTTCTCTTAAAGGCGATGCAAAAATTTGGGAATGGGTAAGGGTTATGAGTCCCTGTGGGTGGCTCAAACAGTTAAGCACCGAACTGCTAATGGAAAAGTTGGTGTTCAGACCCATCCGTAGGTTCCTCGGAAGACAGGCCTAGCTATCCGCTTTCAAAAGGTCACAGCATTGAAAACCCTATGCAGCAGTTCTACTCTGCACACATGGGGGTCTTCATGAGTTGGAATCAAACACAACTAACAACAAAGAGTGATGGTTGAACAAGATGATGAACATAATTAATGTCACTGAGCTGTACATGAAATGTACGTTGAAATGACAAATACGTTGTTACTTATATATTTACCATAATAGAAAAGAATTACAGATAAGAAGAAGTTAAAAAGAAAAAAGGAAAGCATTCAGCTGAGGCGTTCCTGAAATCCAGGGAACCCAGTCCTGAAGTCGGGAGGATGGGGAGCCAGTGTGCAAGAGGAAGCAAGATAGCAGGGAACATGTCCCTGTGGGGATCTGTACCCCTTTCCTTTCCTTTCTTTACTGCTGCCCCTTTTCAGTGATAAGTGTTCATGGAGCCCTGTGTATGCCATCAACCCCAAGATAGCCAGAGGTTCAAATCGGTCCCCTTCTGCTCTTAGGCTATATTTGCACCATACAAAAAATTCCTTGAATTCAACTTCAGCTCGCTCTCTGCTCATGTCTCCTGTCATGCGGTTAACTTCATCAAGTTATTTGTTATCAAAAAAAAACATTTTAACATGTCTCCTAGCAGTACCTCGATAATTTCCTATAGACGCCCACTTAGAAATCACTTGCCATCAAACGCATATAATAAAACCGTTTATCACACAGGCACCAGATCCAAATATAGTGACTATAATTACAGTAATTATTAGGCAAAGGGTACAATATCGGCATAAGTGCCAGTGAAAGAAATAATTATAGAGTGCAGGAGTCATCCAAGAGCTAGTGAGAAAAACTAATTAGAGAGAATGCTAAAACACATCATTATAGGTGGGTGCCAAGTTTAATACAGTGTGCAAACATGGCTGCCACTTTGTCACAAAAGCACCTTCCCGTACAAGGAGTGGCAAGACGTCACCTACCCAACAACAGTCAGGATCCAAAACCCATGGGACCCAGTGCTGACCGTCCTAAATTCTGGAAAAACGAATGTCCCAAATCTCCCTCCTTTGATGACTGCGGTGTTTTCTTCGTTTATCATGATGTTGCTTATTGGTCCAGGTGTTTGAGGATTTTTGTTTTCTTTATGTTGAGATGTAATCCATACTGAAGGCTGTCATCTTTGATTTTCATCAGTAAGGGCTTCAAGTCCTCTTTGCATTCAGCAAGCAAGGTTGTGTCATCTGCAAATCCAAGGTTGTTAATGAGTCTTCCTCCAATCCTGATGCTACGTTCTTCTTCATAGAGTCTGGCTTCTCGGATTATCTGATCATCATACAGATTGAATAATTATGGTGAAAGAATACAACCCTGATGCACAGCTTTCCTGATTTTAAACCACACAGTATCCCCTTGTTCTGTTTGGAGGTGTGGCTGACCCCAGCCATGATATTTTCAATTGCCTCATATGCATGGGAAAGTTGGACAATGAATAAGGAAGACCAAAGAAGAATTGATGCCTTTGAATTATGGTATTGGTAAAGAATATTGAATATATCATGGACTGCAAGAAGAATGAACAAATCTGTCTTGGAAGAATTAAGGCCAGAATGCTCCTTCTAAGCAAGGATGGTGAGACTTTTGTCTCATGTACTTTGGACATGTTATCAGGAGGGACTAGTCTCTGGAGGAGGACATCATGCTTGGTAAAGTAGAGTGTCAAATAAAAAGAGGAAGACCTTCAACAAGATGGACTGACACAGTGACTGCAATAATGGGCTCAAGTATAACAACTATTGTGAGGATGGCGCAGGACCAGTCCATGTTTCATTCTGTTGTACGTAAGGTCACTATGAGTCGGAACCGACTTGAAGGCACCTAACAACAACAAGCAGGGGGGCTAATAGTTACATAGAAGCATCTTAATCATCTCTCCTGTTTATAGTAATTAACCTTAGCTTATGATGGTCCTCATAGCTTCTTGTTATGATGCCAGCTGTCTCTTGAGGACATGAGAGTTTAGTCCAGACTCCAGATGTCAGTATGCATTTTGACGTCACCACCCTCTCACCTTGGTCCAAATTTAGAGGAGTGACATATTGGGACTTATTTGCACAAGGGACTCTTTAAATGTTTTATCAAACTGTCAAAACAAAAAAAAAAAAGACAAACACCCATTGCCGTCGAGTCAATTCTGACTCATAGCGACCCTATAGGACAGAGTAGAACTGCCCCATAGGGTTTCCAAGGCTGTAATCTTTACAGGAGCAGACTGCCACATCTTTCTCCCTCAGAGTGGCCGGTGGGTTCAAACTGCCAACCTTTCAGTTAGTAGTGAGTGCTTTGACCACTGTGCCACCAAGGCTGCTTATCAAGCTGTTACCAGAAAACCAAACCTGTTGCCGTTGAGTCAATTCCAACTCACAGCAACTGTATAGGACAGAATAGAACTGCCCCATAGGGTTTCCAAGGAGCAGCTGGTAGATTGGAACTGCTGACATCTTTGGTTAGAGCTGT